TGAATCACTTATAGAGATTGTTATAGAGATGGTAGCAGTTATTTTTGTAATCCCAACATTATGTTAAATGTTGGTATAAACATTTTCATACCTGTTTGAAGGTAAAAAAATGTGGTTGTATATTACATAAAGTATATATCTGATTTTAACTGTAGGCAGTGTGCCCCTACCCCCAGTCCTAATGAGTTACACACATATCACATATATATGTAAGGAGAGATAAACATAATTTTACAAATTTATAGTAAATTTAGGCAAATTAGCTAAGTAATAAGATCCTTGTAAAGAATTACCGGTTTAGTTGATTTTCCCACTTTAAAAAGTGGCTTGGAAAAGGTAAAATCAAGATCAAGGTAAAATAACTCTTGGCACATTAATAGTAATACATATTTCTAGAAACTGATTAACATAAAATTTACTTATAATAAAACAAATATCTCAGTAATATCTAGGATTTCTAGATTAGCTAGAAATTGATTTGTTTTGCTTTTTGTATTTTCTCTTTGTATTTTTCCCTCCTGAATAAATTCAATTTTTTCCTCTAAATGCCCTGTCAGTGCTGGGTTATCCTGCAATAAAGATTTGGGTTCATATAAACACTCTGTATTAAAAAATAAGGTCTTCAGTCTTCATGCAGGTACTTTTAAAGCTTGAAAAGATTTATTAGGTGTTTATATGGTGTTTCAGTTTCACAGAAAGGTAGGTTATATCCACTGTTTCAACCGGATTTATCACCCAATGTTCAGACGCCCATTAAACCTGTATAGCTGTATTAGTGTGCAGCCATCTGTGGGTTCATTCAGACACTGATGACTCATGTGGCAGAGGAAACACAAGAGGACATCATGGAAAAGCACTACCCTCTCTATATATATATATATATATAGTTTTTTTCGATGGTGTCTGTGCAATGCTGAATTGCTTCATAACTGAAAACATAAAAAAAAAAAAATATATATATATATAGGAAGGAAAGGAGGGAGTTAATGAGACTATTCTACGTCTTTAGAAGGAGGAGGACAACTTGCCGTGTTAGGGATGAATTTTGGTCCACCAATTTATGGTTTAGACAAATATTCAGTTTCCTAAAGAAGTGATTCAGGCTTAGACTTTCACACTACCATGTTTGAATGCAGGCATTTTGTTCTATTTCTAATATGTTGTTAGGTTTGAGGTAGATTTAATGCAACAGCCCACCTTCAAAACTTCACCGTTCAAATATTTTCAGAATGTTTGGGGGCCTTGGTGAGATGTTCCTTTCCAAATGTGAATCTCCTCTTGGTTTTGTCCTGGGGTTACTCCTTTGGAAGCATTTTCGTAACCTTCTCACTTTTGCATCACAAAGTCTGGCCTTAATGGAGGTAAGTGAGGCCTGCAGTGCTTTAGATATTATTTCCGAGCTCTTATGTAAACTCCTGGATGACAATGATGCACACCTTGTGTCATTTATACAGGCAGCCTACTTCAGGTTTCACCACTGTTCCATGTTTATTCTATTTGTGACTGTTTCACATATGTTATTTTCTTTAGATTGGGCTTTACTGTGCTGCGTTGTGAGTTTTTTTTAGCCTTCTTCGCCTTGTCAGATGAGCTTGCACCTGCCAGTATTCAAGCTTGGTTGTAGCTATTACATGGTTTAACCTTTTAATTTCAAATGAACACTACAGCAAAGTGGTAGTGAGGTATTATGTTTATACTATGGCTTTTTTCTTAATTGTAGGTACAAATCCAACTAAAATCTTAATTGAGTTCTATATATGGATCAATGTTATATGTTGGCTTTGAAACTTCATAGTTTAAAAGTTCAGTCAAACATGCTGAATGATATAATTGTTTTGCAATTTTAAACTAAGAAAACATGTATTAGACACAGTGGTATGAATGTATTTAAAGTTCCCACATAGGTTTTTTAATTTCAAGCAACTTCTTTTAATGCAAGTAATATAACTTTTTTCTCTAAATAACACATAATTTCTCGTTTTAAAAACTTGAATTAAGGGATATGGACAAATGTTCCATCCTACCTCAACACTGAGAGCCTGAAATCAGGTTTTAATTGGAATGTACCTGAAATTAAATGTCTCTCTAATTGGACAGATTTGATCACATATCCCTGTATGTAAATTGTATCTTTATGCTGGGAGGACAGTTAAGACATGACAATATAGAAAGTGAATGAAAAATGGCTGAGGGGAAAACTACTGTTGATTATTTAAAAGAGAGAAATCAAACATTTTTCTTAATTTTCTTTAGGCTAAGTTGATCTGAATAAGTGGGAATCTTTTTATCTCAAGCCCCATAAACGTCGGATTAATTTCCTATTCAGTTAAATGATCACATTAGTGATACAGTGTTTATTTATTACTTCAGAGAACTTTTACTCTTCTCAGTAGAAATAGGTCAAACTAAAATGGCTTCTGTTTGGGGGGCCGTCTGTAGAGGAGAGGGGCACAGATGTCAAACCGCTCCCTTCCCCATGAACCTCTATGTAAAAGGAGGGAAACAGTGGAAAAAACAGGCCATGATTATATTTTAAAATGGTTGCATAAATATGGTGCAATAAAAAAAAGGACATTATTCAAAGTTACTTCAATCTGGACTTGAGTGAGAGAATTGGTTTCAGATCTGTGTGAGAGCGATAAGTGGCATCATAGGCTGCATAATCCTTTTTATTTCTCAACACTTAGGCAAGAACAGAACCTCAAGATTTATATTTGTATCATGATTTTATTTCTTTTATTTCATTACATCCACTGAACAACTGATCCGTTCAGTTTGACTTCTGTAACACTGTTTTGTGGTTTACATCTGGCCATGATCCGTTTCTAAGCATTATTGCAGCAGTATCACAGTGCACTGTACAGACCCTTCATAGCAGGTAGGTGGAAGGAAAGGAGATAGGAGGGATGAAGTAAAGGAACAGAGGAAATGAGCAATAACTGCTTTAATCTAATTGTTGTCTAAAACCCTCACCCTAGGCACTTGGTGTACGGTAGCTGTGAAATGAAAAAAAAAACAAAACAAAAGCATCACTGCTCCCGCTACCTTACAGCTAAAGCTTTGATTCTGCTTTGGGCTCTGAGTCAAACGCAAACAAACTGTGTGTTGGATCTTTAAGCCTGTGCAACGTTTTTTTTTTTTTTTTCAAAGTGCCCATGGGGTGGGGTTTTGTGTTGATTTGGTATTTTATGATCCAGAAGTTAGAGCTTTACAATTTGTCCAGGTAGTTGTCCAGTGCCGGTATACCCTCTTTCAGACCTTTGCGTTTCCTAATTTCAGCGACGACTTGGAAGGGTTTGCTGGTAGGGTCACTGG